TTGTGGGCATTCCACATTAAGCACACTAGACACACAAGCAATAGACTTAATACGAGCAATCCAGTGAATCTCCTGTGGGAACGATGCCGATGGTTTGTTCAGCGAAAAGCACATTTTGTTGACGATGAAAGCGATCCAGAATAACGATGATTTAGAGGTGCTTGCTTAGAGGTGAATTGAAAATCGATTCGAATAAGACGACTGGGATACTAAATGTGCAAGGTGACGTCGACCACTGATAATGGCAGAAATGAAACGATGATAAAATGAAGAGTTCAGCTCCGCTTGGAATGAAAAACAATAAATTGTTCAGTGAGCAATCAAAATGAAAACTAAGTGCAAACGCCGTTTTCAGATAGCTTTCGTTTTGAATCGTCTCAAGACGTCGTCTAACTTTGACGTGAGTAAAGAGTCGAATATAATATATTCAGACGGGGAAATGAATAAAATTTAATTGACAACTTAACTGACACTGACAATGAAAATATTATTTCATTTGGAAAATGAAAACTGAACAAATGATTCAGTGAGAATATGATCGAATCAATGGTACAACTATTGTGGCCAGTGCAATAGGCAAAAGCCGTAACAATAGAGCTATGAAGCAGCCGTGAATCGCTTCAATTAAGCACTGCATTCGACCTTGGGTGATTGCTTGAATATTCATTCGAATTCATTGTCGTCGAAATACGAGAAGTAGTTCTTGTGGCCTTAAGAAGTGGTACACTGCCACACAAATAGTAAGTGGATTCTATGAAGGATTAACAGATGTGAAAAAGGATGCGAGTTACGACGATGTGAAAAGAACGTGATATAATACGTAAGATGTAGGTGGGATGTGATGTGAATCAGGAGGAGATGCGCACATAGAAGTCATTTAGTTAAGTCTTCGTTTGCTCTCATAGATTAAGTATGTGCTGATTACGAAGTGAACAGACGAACGTCACGAAGGCAACGTATGGCTAAAATGAAAACGAAGCACAAGTGAATTCAGCCAACGTTCTAATCCACCATTAACATAAACTCAAATCTCAACTCAATTCCACCATCCAACAATGCGCCGTCGCCACTCTATCGGCCAACAAATGCTCTTCGCATGTGACCAATTCCCACGCTAAGAATAACTGAAGAGCGGCTTATTCGCTTACTAGAGAATACTCGAAGATTCGACGGAAATTTCATTCAAATTTTCAACTCTTCGTTTGTTGTTGTCCCNCCCTTACATGAACGATGTTACTGAATGACAACGATTTTTTGCTTATTCGTTTAACGTCAGATTCCATTGACGTACCGATGGATTTGCTGATAAATTTATTCATTTAGTGTGGTGATTCTCAAACTCTTTCGGTCAATTGTCAACGCGGGTTACCACAGCGGCCAAATCATTTTTTCTTCGATCGAATTTAACAAGTATTCAATAGCGGCTTTCGAGACTGATAGTGACAAGAGAACAGCGTGATCTGTTCCGCCCTTTGTAAACATCCGTTTTGCCCCTATTGGACCATATTGTTCACGCTAATAGACACTGATCCGCCTTAATAGTAGACATTTATAATTATTCCACATCAGAATTATCACCAGTCAAATAAGATAAAAATAATGACAGCAAATAAAATAATCATCAGTCAAATAAGATAAAAATAATTACGTTTTTAGAGTGATGAGCAATAATTCCGCTTGCATTCATTTTCATGAGTGACTACTCGCATAGAATTTTATGAATCTATCGAAAAACAATTATGACTCGAAGCAAACTGCCGTTTTGGTGGCGTGAGATGGAAACTCAATAATTATTATAAGAATGCACGATGTATGAGCTGCGATTTTGATTGACGTCAGCCGTATAGATCACAAAGGAATGTGTTTTATCTGGAGAAAAATGCTCAAAGAAACCGGAAACGAATGCTTTCTTATTTGGAAACGAATGCTTAAACGTTGACTGTATAAACATTATTCCTATCAGATTATCAAAAGTGATAAATTTCATATGTAAACAAAAGCGATTGGTATTGTTGCACTTTGATTACGATCATTTTATCACTGAACCTATAGCTTTCTTCAAACTTTCACATCCGTAACAATGAAACATGAAATGTAGTATATGAACAAAATTATGGACACGCTTAAGAAGTTAGAATCGTCATTTCCTTTGCCTTTAATTGGTCCCAAAAGGACCTTTTTATAGAGAGTGTAGTGAGGAATTTGAGGCTATGATATAGCAATGAAATACAGTTATTACTGATATGGTACCAAATCGTTATTACTACAATGATCATCGACCAGTACAACTGTTTGATGTGCTAGAGGTTAACGTGAACCGAAAAATGGATTCATTTGGAATGATCTGATTGCAATGTTTACATAAAACCGAACATAAGATTCGAAAGTATCTCGGTTATGAATTCAATGCGTCGATTACATGGTTTAGAAAACAACGTGCTCTCGTCAGCATAATATTTACGCTCAACTGATATGAATGCGATAAGGTGTAAGACGGGTAAACAAAATTTCAACAACAATTCACTGGTCATTCATTTTCATTTGTCGTCAGGAAATTTTTTTCGCCCATGCGAATACTCACTGATCAAGATAGAGAAACACTATACTCTCAATGCTATGGAACTGAATAATAGGCTCCCGATAGACGAAAAAATTCTGTTTTGTTAAATGCCGCAACATTTGCTTCAATACAGCTGTCGATACAACACGATTGCTGCTGTTGAAGAAGGAATTTGACGATTTGAAGAAATGAATTCATGAAAAGTGCATTTTGCATGAACACTCAAATAAATAATGTAACATTTTGAAGCAACAGTTCTATAGAAGTTCGAAACAAACGATTAATAAAATCGAAGTAGATCCAGAGGAGGAAGTTAAATTCAGAGGATGAATAGTTTCTCATTCGTGCCAAAAGTTCGGCTAAAATTACACGAACAACTGACAGATCCAGTGTTTATGAGTCATAATCATCGTGTATAAATTCGATAGAGTTATCAGAAATATGATCATCATGAATGGAGCGACGGAAAAACATAAGACATACCCGGAGTTGGTGTTGTAATCGGTGTGGTGCCTGGTGGACCTCCAGGAGGTACGTCAAGTCTCAGTTCATGATTCGACTGACCGACCGAAGAAACGCGAAAACGATTCGGTGGTGGGACCGATAATGACGAGGACATTATACGAGCTTTTGAGCCGATCACAAGCAACGCATGTGTCTGAAATACAACTTTTCCATCGAATCATTAATCTTCGAGAACGCGTAAATTTTTCTCGACCACCGTTCATATGGCAACAACAGTAACAAATAAACGCACTTTCATTTCGTTTTGTACAACACACGATAGAGACACATAATGTGACAGATGATGGAATGTAATACGCAAGACATTCACATTCAACATTTATATAAATGTATATATGGCTAGGTATTAACTGAAGAGACTGTTATTGAGCTTTATCGTTGGTGCTGACTGATCAGATGTGACACGCCTTTATAGGCAATAACAAAGCGAACCTATCAAAGCTGTGCTTTTCATAAAGCTCAATGCATGAGATAGATACATTAATAGAGTTGCTTTCCAAAATATGCTATTATGCTCTTCGCCTAATGAGATGTCACTCGAGACTAATTTGTGCTTCCTTGTTATGACGCTCGAAAAATGTCGTTGGATGGGCGCTCTGGACACATTTAATTGACAACACAGTGATGAATTAAGTACATTCTGGAACATTTTTGTGTGTAGTCTTGATCTTATTATTGTTGCACAAAATCACCATTTGGGTTGCTATATTACGATTGCACTCTTGCAATGGTGTTGCATTATTCGATGGTTGAAATCAATAAAGTAATAACATTGAACATTTTAAGCTGATTAAAAGATGGACTCATACAGCAGCTTATCGTTGACGTAATTACTACTGAGCAAGTGAAAATTTAATCCACAAAAGGAATTCGAATAATCCACGGGAACGGCGGAATTAAGCGCTTCGAGTGCCTCTTACGGACCAGTTTTTCTTCCGCTGACTAATAACAACATGAAATCAAAAAAAAAGATGACAACGCTGATTTTGATCACTGAGTAACTCTAATCAATCTTAATCATAAAGTGGAGTTCACTGCCAAATCAATTCTGATGAAAAAATGGTGCTGGCATGTGCGAATGCGTAGTGGTTCAATTACTGAAACCTTTCTCAACATTTTTTAATTATTCATCAAGAATTTTCGTTTTCAGTTGATTAAACTCACGAGAATATTAACGAATCATGATTTTAAAGCACTGCTAGCAACAGTTCATAATGATGATACGCTCCAGATGAATAGTAAAATCTTCATAGCTCTGTTAAGTATACATCTGAATTGATGAAGCAAACAACAGATCCCGTCGTTGCTATTATAAATATTGTCAGTACGCAGAATGTTACTGTTAATCGTAATGCTACTGTCATAAAGTTATTAATATTATCAGTACGCTGTTATTGGAGCATATTTTAATTGCTACCATATACAAATACTTTGATTAAATAATTCAGTTATACAATTGAGATCTGAAAGAGACTAACAGTACTCTCTGAACTGATCCACACTAACTTGCTCATTTTTAAAATC